CTGCGAGGAGAGGGGGGCGCAGGGGTGGTGCGGGGCCTCTGTGGGCAGAGGGGGGTGCGGGGGGAGCTCTCTCCGCCTGTGCCGACCCAAGAGCAGCCCGGGCGGGTGTCCCCCCCGCACCCCGGTGCAGCGTGAGGGGAACCAGGGCAGGGGCCTCGGAGACCTGCGCAGCCCTGCGGTGTGGTAGCCAGGGAACTGTTGCAGCCAGCGGTTCGTGGGAAAAGAAACCTCATGAAATTTGGATTTGACGGGGTTAAGGGGCCTCTGATAGCGGGTGTGTGTGTGTGTGTGTGTGTCAAGTCGAGCGGAGGTTCTCGTCTCCAAAGTCTTACCGCGGCGTGAAAGCAGATGCTGGAAAACAACTCCTGCTCTGGCACAAAGGAAGGATGGGGAGGATGAGTCGCAGCTGCAGGCCCTGAGTAATTTAATTCCTTGAGTTTGAGATTTCGGGAGCTGTTAGAGGGGCATGAATGATGATTTCTCTTTACCTGCACAGCTGAGTGCCATACTGTTGGCTGTGTGATTCAGGATAGAAAATATACCAGTACTGAATGCATTATTTTCTTTAATGTAACTTCTGGAATACTGTTTTGTTTACTTTAGAGTTAGAACAGACCCTAATATTTTTGTACTTGGAGCAAATACTTTGATCCCTCTATGGATATTTAATTAGTTATGGACCCTATCTGTGATATCAGGTGTTTCTTTTCTAATACCTGATTCTGCGGTATGTATGCAACTTGTTTATCCCATATATGCATATATATCCTGCATATCCTTTTTGTCTAAGGATCTTTTTTGAGCATCAAGGGGGGGGGGGAACCCCCAACAGATTGCGTGTTGCAGATGCAGAGTAGAAGAGTAATATGAAGAATTTTGAGGGGGCAGTTTTTGAAATAAGGCATTTAAAGCAGCAACCAAAGCTCTCTTTATCTTCTTTCATGATAATCAAGTGATGTGCTGTGCTTATGCCTTAATCTTGTGACCTAAGATCACTTGATTGCCTTGTGTGAAGCTACAACTTGAGCTGTTTTGTTCTATTTTGTATTATAAGCTTCTTAAGTGCAGCAGTTGAAGCCTCACATGTCATTCACCATGCTTGGTTTATGCTACACTAATTGTGGGTAATTCTTCAAGGCTGCAAGATGCTGAATGCTTGGTAAAATGCTTGATGCTTCATGACTTCTAAAAGATTTAAAACCTTTGCTTTGAGAATTAGATGCTCCCTTTTTTATCAGAACAGCACGAGGAAAAAAATAAATAAATCTAAAGATTACTGCTTAAATCTGCACCCTGTGTAGAGAGACCTATTTAACTGAAGATACTTTTGACCTCGTACAGAGACTAAAGATGCTATCACTGTGTTGAACTGGGGGACTCCCTGAGCGATGACAACTGCCTGAATATCTTTCCTCATAGGATGCTTTGCACTGGTTTAACTAAAAGGGGTTTTGTGCATGTCAACTAAAAGGCCTTTATGTTTTCAAGGGTCTTGGAAACTCTCAGAGGGAATATGAAAGGCAGGTTGTACTCTACAGCATCCGCAATCAATTACGATACCGGAATAACTTAGGTGAGTAAAGAAGCTAAGTAACTTCTAACTGCTGCCTGATTATTCTGTGTGGAAGCTTATCTTTACTGTAAAACTGCAAGAACTAACCCTGTTCGAATGTCCCTCCTTCCTTGAAAACAAATACTTTTAAATGATAAACACGACGAAAAGTCTTGACTTTTGAGTCTGTCTGACAGCTTTTTCTAGTGAAGCAGTCTTTAAGGTTATTGAGGATGAATTCATCCTGCTGTAGTTATGCCGCCCTTTTCCAAGAAATTAAGAGATGTTAACAGAGGATTTGATTAATAATAAAAGCCTGTCAGTAGATGAGATGCAGACAGTGGCCCTGACTCTCATGAGCTATTGGATATGACTTGCTTGCAGACTTTCAATTTATTTTCCATTGACGGTACCCATTCGTCTTCCCAAAGTAGATAGTAGTTTCACTGATTAAAAGATAATTTGCTACAGGCTGCATCAGTTTTGTCTCAATGGGCCACTTCCTGGTAACCTGTAAAATAAATCTGCTCTGTTCTAATGTCATCCTTAAAGGCTCTGAGAGTACTTGTATCATATGTAGAAATACTTGGATGCTGAATGCCCTGCATTACTCCTTTATTTTCGTTTTCTGTCAATTGCTATTATACTATTTTTAATTCTTCTGTTGTAACACTTCCTTTTTTTTAAATTGGACTTCATACAACAGTGACCTTTTTTTTCTCCTCTTGTAGTTAAGCATGTCAAGAAAGACGAACGTAAATATTATGAGGATCTGTTAAAATACAGTCGAGATCATCTCATGTTGTACCCCTATCATTTGTCTGACATCATGGTCAAAGGTCTGAGAGTAACACCGTTTTCATATTACACGGGCATAATGGAGGTGAGTACAAAACCATGGCGAGAATACATTGTTTTCTGTCCTAGATGTTGGTGATGGCCCTGTAATGCATATGAGGCAGTGTCATGTAGTTTGTTTTCTTTTGGGTAGGATATGCTGACAAGTAAGGAAACAGTAAGGAAGCTCTCTAGGGAATTACTTGTACCTGCAGTTTTTTCCCTTCTGCTTCCATAAACCTTTCCAGAGCTGGACTTTGTCATGGGGAACAGGGTGGGACTCACTCTGAGGCCAGGCTTTTTCTTCTGGTGTTTGAGGTTGACTCTTCACTTCAAACTGTAAAAGAAACAGCTCATTCTGTTAGATTAATAAACCACAGAGAATTTCCATTTTTAAAACCCAGCACATTTGAAGGATTATTTTCTTTTTTGTTCTCTTTCAAAAAGGACACTTAACCATATTAGAAGCTTTTTCAAAAGCTTGAAGCAGATCCTTTTCTATGAGAACAAAGGTAGTTCTGTTTTCTGTCAGCACTCTGGCAACCTTCTTTTATTTTCATTGGATATCAGAAGTGCTTTTTTATTTTGTGTATAGTGATTGCAGACATAACGGATTAGTTGTTAGCTTATTCTGTTATTACTGTTAGCAATTCCGTGTGCTGGGGTTTTTTTTTTGTGAAGACAGATACAGGATTTTATCTTTATTATTCTGTCAATCAGCATTTTTCTTTGAAGCTTACATTAAACAGAAGTCTCTTATGTATTTAACTTATTGTGTAATGATTAATCAAGTAATTGCTAAGTTTGATAAGGTAACTGACTTTAACAGATTTGTTTTAATGTCATTTTTTTCTTTAAAAAAAAAAAAAGGCAGGCAGAGTTTTGGACTTGCTTCTCTGAAACAACTACTTTCTTGTTGCAACTAAGTTTTCTTGTCTTTTTAAGGATATAATGAACAGTGAAAAGAGCTATGATTCATTACCCAACTTCACTGCTGCTGACTGTAAGTATTACCTAGTTGTGTTACTGCTTTCAGTGAGTTGGGAATAAGGAGCTTCTGAAAATGGTTTTGCAGGCATCTGTTTGCTTGAACATAAGCATGTGAATAAAGGTGTAGAAGCATTTAAATAGTGATACTAAGGAGCGTGTGCTCTCCAGACAGAGTTCTGTCCGTATGGTCAGCAGTGGGATTTAGCTAGTTTGAGTACACGTAAGCATGGTGCAAAATCTTGTGCAGCTTCTGTCCTTCCTTGTATTGCATTCCTATTTGCTTGGACTTCTGGGTGGGAAGTCTTACTGGCCATTGTGCATCAGCAAGCTGAGCTGCTGGACCTTTCCTAGTGCATTTTTTGGCATGTGTTAGGCAGAAAGCTTTGGGAAGACACTGAAAGGCTGTTGACACTCCTGTGAATTAGCATCAGTGTGGATGGAGGGATGATGTACCAGAAAAGAGAATCTAGTATTTTATGACACTCCTGGATGTGCCAGGTGTTTTATTGTGCCAGGTGCTTTCTATTAGACTGTTGTGGGCATGAGCTGGGGAGATCAGGAAAGCAAAAATATTGAACCTGATGGAGGAGAACAGAGTAAGAGCAATTAACCTACTGACAGGTCTTACAGAGGACAATGCAAACTGCTGGCATAGGGAGGGTGTTAATCAAACCTGCCACTGAGAAGTTATTCATAGCTGAAGACTTCATTCCTCAGATTCTGTATGTATTTCACAGAATCACTTTGGTTGGAAAAGACCTTTGAGATCATCAAGTCCAACCTTTAACCTAACCCTGCCGTCCCACCACTAAACCATGTCCCTATGGTTCTATAGTTCCCTTTGAGGATTGTGTGTAGTCGGGTAAGGAGTAGCCTGTAGCTTTTGAAAACAGTTGGGTTTTTGGTTTTGTTTTTAAAAGGATATTGTCAGTTAATGGTACTAATTTGCCTCTGTGTAATGTTCACACTGGGAAAACAGATCAGGAAAAACTTTTCTATTCAGCGCCATGTAGCTTGGTGGAAATCTAGTGTTACTTGGGAGTATGAAGAGAGGAAAGGATTCTCTGTTTTTTTTCTTCCTAGCAATTCTGTTATTTTAGCAGCAGCTGTAGGTCAGTTGCTGAGGTATAATTAAGTTAAACATCTTTATTAACATCATAAAAACTAGTGTGTCAAACTAGAAAGCTGGACTTAACACATGTTCGGTCTTAATTTTAAAACTAATGAGTACTTTTTCAGTATCTGTTCATAGTTCCTTAATGGTCGAAGGCTAGAAGTTATAGTATTAAATTCTGATTCGATTTAACTCAACTAGATCTTAAATCTTCCTTAGAGGCTTATGTGGCCTTTTATACTCTAATTCTTGGTTTAGAGTTCCAATCCAGTGCGTGGTGTGGGATTTATTAGGGGCAGAAAAACTATTGACCAAGATCTGGTACTGCTTTAGTTCTGTTAATTTGAAGCATAGTTATTACCTGTTGGTGTGAGTGTAGGAGAGGAAGGGGTTGGATTTTTCCCTGCTATCCTGTGACGGGAGAGATATGAGGTAGGGTTTTTTTTTTTAACCTGTACATAGTCAATGAATGAGGATGGATTCTGGTTGTAGATGCAAGTGGTTCTCTGTCAAATTCAGTTTTAACTGAATTTAGCTCCTATAACTATCCTTTTATTTTGGGAAGAAAGAGTAACTATTATTACAGAAGTAGGTGTGATTCTTTGAAGAATGTTTTAGGTATCTTCAGATTAAACCTGTTTTAAGAGAAATAAAACCTTATCTTTCAGGTCTAAGACTCCTTGGTATAGGAAGAAACCAGTATATAGATCTAATGAACCAATGTAGATCTTCAAAAGTAAGTTTGTCTTTAATTTCCTCTCCCCCCCC